CCCTTTTATAATTGAATTTTTTTCTAAAATGCAAGCCACAACCTTCCACATCCCTGTGTCTTATATATATATATATATATATTTACTTTTTTTTTGTAAATAGGTCATATGACCTATGTACAGGTTTACAATTTCTGCATGAACAATTTAGAGAAGGTCACCCCACATTTTTACATTAATATTTACCGGACCTTCATCCCCATCTAATAATACATGATCTTTTTTTTATAGTTAAATATTTCTATGGATTCTCGAATATTATTGGTTATAATACCTTTTGGTTAAGCTAATATTACAGTTTTTTCCTACAATACAATATGTTGTGTTTCATGTACATGTTTTGCTATAGTTGCATTTGATTTAAATTTTTTTTCATTTTTTATTTCTTATGTATTCTTTATGCTGCATTAAACAATATTTTAAATTACATTTAGTCTGTCCAATATAAATATTTCCACACTTAAATTTAATTTTATAGATTCCTGTTTTTTTTCCATTAACTGTATGTATTCTTTGGTATTACCTGAATTTTGCTTTATCTTATCAATAGGTTTAAATTTAGGATAAAATATTTGTTGTTTTCTAAACACGTTAAATAAATTATTAGTTAAACCTCGGATATATGGCAAAAATAAAGCTTCCTTTCTAATTAACCGGGTTTTAAAGTAATACTTTGATCAGTCATTACCATATTAGTGAATTTATTGACAGCTCTATCTACAATATTTGGGTTAAATCCTCATTAAACTGCTACAAATTTCATTAATAATAACTCAATTTTTAAGTCTTTTTGTATAGTTTTTGGAGAATCCTAAAACTGTAAATAAGTCATATGTACTTGAAACTACAGATATACTTAATTTTAAAAAGTTGTGTGAAAGATCCATTTTTTCAAGTTAACAATAATAATTATTATAAACAAAATGAAGGATTAGCTATTATTGTGTGATTTGTATATGAATGTATTTGAAACTAAAGCTATAAATGGTACAAAATGTAAACCTGATATTTAGATAAGATATGTAGATGACACATTGAATTTGCATGCTATTCAAATAGCATAGAACCATCTATACAATTTACTTATGAAATTGAGAAAAATAATAACTTGTCTTTCTCTAGATGTATTAGTAAAAAGGAATTTACAAGATAATCTAGAAACATCTATTTTTCAGAAACCCTTTTCTGTTCTTATGTGTCCACATGGTGAATCATGTCATACTAGATCACAAAAAATGTCTGCATTTTACATTTTATTTCCTAATTTTTTATGGTAGTTGCAAGATCGTTCAAATCTACAGAACCATTACAGAGATTAATTACTGAAAATAACATATAAAATTCTTTCTTAAGAAAGATTTGATAACTATCCGGACATTATAAAGATTTCGCATTTGAAATTTAAAAATTTTCTGATGCATAAAAGTATTTTTAATCTTAAAATTACTTTGCATGATAGATAGGCAAGATGTGAAAAGAAGAAAAAAAAAAAGGCACGAGCAAAACATTGCTTTCCAAACTTTATGACTTAATAAAAAATTAGATATTTTGCATATGAAAGCATTGTAATGTTTACTGATAATCTGCCAAATTTTGTTAACTAATTTAAAAGTTATAGCATGAAAACTATAACAAGCACAAAATGATGGTTGGAGATGGCTTGAATGGGTAATGAAGAAAAACTTTAAAACAAATTTAACACAACAGCAAATGTACAATGTTTCGACAAGGTATTGTCATCATCATAAAATGGTTATGAGGTCATCACATCAACCAACCCCATATTGAAAGAGTTAATGGAGCATAAAGAAAAAAAATATTAAAATTTAGCTATAGTAGAACATGTACATGAAACAACATATGGTATGATGGGAAGTTATAATTTTCCTATATGGAAATATTTATATTGAAAACACTAAACGTAATTCAAAATATTGTTTAATGAAGCCCAAAGGATGCAAATGAAAATAATATTAAAAATTCAGCTATAGCAGAACATGTACATGAAACACAACATATGGTATTGTAGGAAGTTATTATTTTCCTATACAAAAATGCATTTCCGATACGTACTTCCCTTTATAATTGAATTTTTTTCAAAATGCAAGCCACAACCCTTCCACATCCCTCTGTTGAAATCCAAAGTTCCAACATGTCTCTCATGCATCAACTCTTTACCAATAGGAGAGCACTACTATCATGTGAGGCATGTGACTCCCTCTATCACTTCGAAGTTTGGTGGAAGATTGAGAGGAGGAAGGGTGGGAAGTGTGAAGGAAGTACTTATTGGAAATATACACAGCATGGTCACAAGTAAATAGACACCACCTATTCAGAAAAAAATAAATTTTTCAGTCACGTTCACATGAATTGATATATTTAATTAATATCTAGTACATCTTCCT